TAAAATCAACAGAGACAAATAACAAAATAGAACATTAAAATCAAGATGTATCTCGCTGCATTGCACGAGTAATCTTCTAATATATATATATATATATATATATATATATTCATTTGAGAAGTGGTAAGTATCTGAGAAGTAGAAAAGTGATCATACCTCTTCATTTGGTTAAGATTTACGGCTTTGACTGTGAAGCACTAGATAGTTCCTCACATGGTATGTGGACGATAGAATGGTAGTTTCGTAACTTTTATAAATATGCAACAAAATAGGTGCATATGTGAACCGGTGTGATTCATATATATAGTATATGTTTATATGTGACCCCGTGTAACTCACATATGAACTATTTAATTGATTCATATATGAACTCATGTAATTCACATATGAACCTGTGTGATTTACATATGAACAAATTAATTGGTTCACATATGAACTATGAGTTCACATATGCACTTGTTTGCCACCTATTTGTAAAGTTACGAAACTACCCTTCTATTTTTTGATTGACCAGTCAAAGCCGTAATCCTTGACCATATGAAGGGCTAAGATCACTTCTTCACTTCTCAAATACTTACCACTTCTTAAATAAACATCTCCCTGTATATAATATAAGAATAAACAATAATAGTCTATTTTGACAAATCTACAGGCCAAAGTATACATATAATACATTCTACTTGTTGTTTATAACTTTTACAACCCAAAATATATACATTATACAATTTAGAACATTACGGCCTAAACCCAAAGTCTAAAGTTTGGGATCATTCTTTAAGAAAAGAGTCTAGATGTGTTTGTAATTGTTACGAAAAAGACTGTGCTTATCATAGTAAGCAAATTGATACAAGTTCTTTGTGGAATCACTTAAAAATCAATGTAAGAAGTTGTAACACCCGTGATTTTGGGTATACCTTTAAGATTGATGTATTGTAATAGGTCTTTAGAAGTCATTCCTTGAGTGGAATGCATTGGGTCTTAAGAGCTTATGGCATGAGTGAGTTCTAGTGGAGAAAAGTTGCATCGGGAGCTAAATAGAAAATCCTGCTACTTATCTCGTTACCTAGGCCGAGGGAAAAGCTGTGCAACTCCTTGTTTCAGCAAAACGAATATTTGGATCCTACTTAATTGCAGGAACCCCTAGATCAGGTTTTAAATCTATTTTTAAGCTGGGTTTGTCCATTCTTCATCCATTTCAATCCTCTCTCATTTTGGGCGATCTTTGGGAGTTGTTGGCAATATGTTGGAGAATTTTGGAGGAGATCTAAGTCAGGTAACGCAAAGGATTCGAAGATCGGTGTGGTAAGCTTCTTAGGTGTTTTGAGATCTGTATTTGGGCCTTTTTTTTGAAATTTGAGTTATTGATTGGTACTTCTTTGGCTTGGTTAATAGTCTTGAGAAACTTCTTTGGTGGGGTTTGCTTGAGAATCTCATATCTTCATCTTTTGGAAGCTAGATAGTTGGGTTTGGAAGCTAGGTTTAACTTAACCTAGTAAGACGAGTTCAAGTTGTTTTGCGAAAATTTTGTACATGCCAAAAATATATAATTTAATGTATCAAAATGTTTCCTTGATATTTAAAAATAATAATAAAATTAATTATAAACAAAAATATTTAATATAACTGTATTACAGATTCATCACCATAATAATAATAATAGCAATAAATATATAATGATGATAAC